CGCCGCCGCTCGAGCCTGTCGTCGTCGGGAATCCCCAGGGCGTCTTCGAGGTGTCCGCCCCGCTGCCCGATAGCCACGGATGCAGCACGGAACTGTGGAAGTGCGGCCGACAGACCTGGCTCACCGGTCCGCTCGTCACGCCGCTGCTCGACATCCTTGCTGAAAAAACGCACGGAAACGGATTGGTTAGACGACTCTTCGCTCTTTTCCTTCTCCATCTTCTACGTACAGGCACCCTATCTACGTAGATCAAAGCTGTGCCTCGTGCGAAACAACGCAGATATCTCGACGAAAAAAGAAAAGAATCGACGATACCTTGCACGATATCTCGTTGAGAGCAAAGCTCGATCATATTCGCGTTCCAGCTTCGGCCGCGAGCTTATCGTTGCACGTGGTCGATCTACTATCAAACTCGTCAATTCCACGCCCGAAGACAGAGATGGTGGCGACGCGACGCGACGTGCTCCACAGGTCTCGTAACTACGCGATCGTTGCCTGCACCCGAGAGAAGAACCTGATTCGTGCGTGCGCGGAATGATCGGCTTTTACGTCGATCGTAAAGGCAGCTAATTGCCGAGGACATCTTAATTACGCGCGCAAAGCCCGCTCTCGCTCGACACGCGCGCTATCATCGCTTCTCCCCCTTTTTTCATCCCTCTAACGTACGCCATCGTGCATTCACCCTAACATTCCGTACATCCTTGTACCAGAAAGAAAGAGAGAGAGAGAGAGAGGATTGACTCCGCCTCTGGCTAGGTATAATTAGACGTTCATTAACGATTTGAACGTTGCAACGTTGCCTATCCAGGATTCGCGTTTCCTTCAACCATTGCCTCTACCGGGTTCCGCGAAAAGGAATCGTTTCGTGCAAATTCGTGACTCGGGCGCAAGCCTGCTTACGTCGGGTGCAAGTTGCACGAGCACGATCGATATATCGAATGGTTCTTGCCGGCGTTGCTCCGCCACCTCGGCGGCATACGCTGATAACGAGCGAATGTTTTGCCAAACTCCACCCCGTTGCACCCCTTAGCGCAGCTGAATTACGGCCGTTAATTCGAGCTTCGAGTCGACGTCACGCTCCGTATTCCTCGCTAAACTTACGACTCTACCTGTGGCCTTACGGTTCTCGCGGCAGCGATTTGGTCGTCGGAAATTTTGTCGTCTAACAGAAGGAAAGTGGCCCGAAATCGGCGACAATCGAGAGAGATCGTATCGAGATGAACGTTTTAGTTGGGAACGAACGACGAGTTGAAGATGCACGTGCTTCTGCTGTGGAAAGTCGTCTAAATTTAGGAGCATGAAACGTAATATGAAGAGGGAGAGCACGGTACGAGCAGCTGCAGCGTCATGCAATTAATCGAATGCAGCGATGCCCCGCCTGTAATTGGATCTCGTGCATTAGATGGAAAGTAAACAAGAGAACAAGATCTCGGTGAAAGCTCGCGATCGCCAATTTTGCAAAATACCTCGCGCCACATTCTTCGTTACCGTTCGTAAATGTCTGGACCTTTGTGTTTGGTAGTTTGTTTTATCGATTTTCCATGTCGCACCGCCATTTCCGAGTTATTTTTCGCTGAAATCCAGAGATGTTGATATTAACCCTTTGCATTCTGAATTTTATTCCAATTTCGTTACCAGCAGCTTTTGAAATTTAATTTAACTAAAAAATAAGACAATTTAGATGGCTAAAGGAAGAAGCATATTCACTCAAATACCAGTTTTATTCTATTGTTGTATTTTCTAATTTTTAAATGTATGATATATCGTGAAACAATTCCCAGGATGCAATAATTACCCCTTTGCGAATTTTATTTCAAATATGTTACCAGCAGCTTTTAAGTGCTTCAATTTCGTTACCAGCAGCTTTTGAAATTTAATTTAACTAAAAAATAAGACAATTTAGATGGCTAAAGGAAGAAGCATATTCACTCAAATACCAGTTTTATTCTATTGTTGTATTTTCTAATTTGTAAATGTATGATATATCCTGAAACAATTCCCAGGATGCAATAATTATCCCTTTGCACTGCGAATTTTATTTCAAATATGTTACCAGCAGCTTTCAAGTGTTTTATTTGAAATTTACTTCAACTAAAAAATAAGACAATTTAAATAAATAAAGGAAGAAGCATATTCACTCAAATAAGAGTTTTATTCTATTGTTGTATTTTCTAATTTTTAAGTGTATGATATATCCTGAAACAATTTCCAGGATGCAATAATTAACCCTTATAATATAACTAACCCTTTGAACTGCGAATTTTATTTCAATTTCGTTACCAGCAGCTTTTAAATGCTTCATTTGAAATTTACTTCAACTAAAAAATAAGACAATTTTAAATAAATAAAGGAAGAAGCATATTCACTCAAATAAGAGTTTTATTCTATTGTTGTATTTTCTAATTTTTAAGTGTATAATATATCCTAAAACAATTTCCAGAATGCAATCCTGCTTTTCTAGGACATCTATCGATTTGGACATGAAAGGATGTCGAATGGGACTCGACAAAGGAACTCCTCAGATAAAAACTGACATCGAGTCACTCAACATAAGAGTGCAAAGGGTTAATTATCATAAAGGCAGGTAAGCGAAGAGGTGCTTACAGGAGAGACACGAAGGTATGCGAACGATAAAAGAAGCTCTCGGATGATTTTATCTGTCTTTTTTCATCGTGCAATCCATTTCATACTTTCGCCTGTCGCAAAGTCTGATTCTGTACCTTTCTACGCATTTCTGTGCCTTTGAGCGTGTATCAACCACCTAAGATCGATGAACACGAAAGCAGAGCGATGCAGACGTTCGGTAATTTTACTCTACGTAACGACGTGTCTCCAGATATAGCTTCATCAACGTTATTTGTTAATAAACATCAATTACAAAAGTCGTACAAGAGCAACAACGAGATCGTGAAACAACGCGATAAATTCACGAAAGAAACTAAGATCTGCAAATGGGTGTCCGGATACGTGTAACCTAAACATTCTACGCGTAAATCATTATAATTCGGACCTACGCGGCCGTCTAAACAAAAATCGATGAAAGTCCTGTTGCAAAAATACGTCGAAGTGTGCGGCAGCTGGAAGAACGGGAAATCGGAAATCCGTCATTTTCACGGGTTAATTTTTGCAACGTGGCGGATGGAACGAGGGGCAGAAGCCAGTTCGCACTTCCTTCGGTAAAAACTTTCGCGCTAAGGGATATTTATCATGCCGCTACCTCTCCTTTCTCCGCGAGACGTTCGCTCTTTTTCGTTCGTTTGCGCGCCGGTCCTCTCCGCTTTTTGCGGCCGCCATCTCGCAAGCTGCCGCGTCTCTCGTTATCCCCGAGACATTCTCATTCACGTTCACGCTCGTTTCTCCTCCACCCACGGCCGAGAGTAAGTTTTTCTGTGGGGCGAGCGATCGACGCGTGCATTTCACCGGCAACGAGATTGGCAAACGTCGCGACGCCGGGAAAAGCAGAAAAAGGCGAAGACGTCTCGTTAAGGCAGTCTCGAGGAGCTGCTTAGGCGTCGATTCCCAAGGCGGTCGTTTGGAAACAGTTCGCTTCTAATATGGCGCCGCTTTTCCACCTCGCGCCGTGCCTTTTTTCCTTTTTCCCGATCCCCAACTTGCACGCGTTATTCGCGTTATGCTAACGAATTTTTTCGCCTAACTGCAACGAAGAACCTCCCATGGGGCTGTTACTCGAACGTCGCAGACGAGCGTCGGGAAAGCAAGGAAAGCGCGTGGAAAGTGAACAGGCGAAACCTGAGATACTGGAAACTACGTAGAGACACCGAAACCGAAGAAAGTCCGGGATAATATCGGCGACACGAAAACGATAGAACGTAAAATAGAGAGACAAGTTCATGGTGAATTACGATGGCGTGCAACGTTAATTTACACGATTTAAGATACACCTAAGCCATCGTCGATTCGACAATAGTATGAGACACAACGAGCTAAAGGCAGTCGCTAAGAAGACTGAAAACCCAGGAAAAAATCCAGCGTCAGGAAGAATAATTGGGGATCTTTGAAGAAACAGGTTGGAAAAATCCTGAACAGCGTTAATAACGTTAATCGATTAATAAGACAGTAGCATTCGTCGTGTTTCTTACTCTGTCAAATACATCTATATTATTAAACATGCTTGCTATTAATTTATGAATATTCCAAGATTCGTTCGATAAAAGTTACTGAGAAGATAACAATGAAATACAAAATACCGTCAGTCGGCAGCGTCCAAATGTACTGGCACCTTTCCACGCAAAATGTAAAGAGCGCGATCGCACTGCTCGCGATTCAAACAGACATAGTTGGTTGCTGGCTGCTAGAGGAATCGTGGGTTAAGCTAAGCTGGCAAATCCTCACCTCAGACACCGGGATAAGATTTCGTATCGAAACATCTATTTATCGGAGCTGATGGGCGACAGGATATACCGGCGAGAAAAGGTGGGTGCGTCGGTGGATTCGCGATGGCAGTGGATCTTTTGAAAACTCTTTTGAGAAGCACGAAACGACAGGAATAATGGAAAAGAGGAAAAGAACGTGGTTCGTTCGTCTCTCGGTGGAAACCTGTTTTCGCGGAAGGAATTCGACGTCCTCGAACGACGCGACGTACGTTCTCCACCAGAGCTGCAGCTACTGCTACACGATCGGCCAACGATAAAGCGGCGAGATCTACGCGCAATCTAGATCGGATCCATTAATCGCTTACTCGATCGCGACGACTCCTCGCCAGACTACGCCCACGCGCGTTGAAAATATTCGATGCAATAAGTCACACCGGTCGCGATACGACATTCCGGCTGTTAATATGATAATTGACTCGTCGGCTGAATATCTAGCAACCGGATCGGCGTAGCTCGCCGCCGTGTTCCTTTCGATTCCAGCAGACGAATTTGCGTGCGATCGTTGCTGGCCCTCGAGCGCCTTTTTCCACAGCTCGTTTTCTACGTGGCATAGATGCGCACCTATAGATGCGATATCGCGCACTATGCGCATACTAATTCGAGCCGAGATTAATTAGAACGATCACGCCTACCTCTTTTCCAGACTTTCGCTCCTAATTCCGACGTTTCCGCGTACAGAACGTGCACATCGACGAGCGTAAGTGTACTTGGTCGCGTGGAAATTATCGATAAGTATACTTCAGTTGAATTTCTTTTCGCGATTCA